TTGGTAAGGAAGATAAAGGAATTATCAAAAGATGTAAAACAGATTTTACATTCTCCTGAGATGAAATGCAAAACGTGTGTTATAAACTTGCCATTTATGGCTCAATTAAAGATAAAGGTGCAGGTTGTTTCAAGGAAAGAAATTTAACTCAATTTGAGCTCTGATGCAAATTCTCAAAGGACATTTATGTAGAAACCACTGACTGTGTAGACCTTAACTCATCTAACAGCCTCCTATATGGTTTTCTGGAATATAAGACATGATGATTGATGGATACTGTTTAATTAAACCCAATAATAAGCCCGCTACATTGTTCCAGAGAGGACGTTCCCACAATATTCAACACGCTACCAGCAGCTGGACTTAAATACTAAAATTAATCTCATCACCCTTGATTTAAAGTCAAAAACTGCAGCACTGTCCACTAAAATCAAAGCATAACTCTCTGAGAACTTTTATAAAAGTAGTTATTTTTTAATTAATTTTCATTTAAGGCAATCCAATACAAAGCATTTCACAACCCACCATATGACAATAATCATGTACAATAAAAACCCTTTTAACGGAAAGTATAGGGAGTCATGCAAATCAGAAAACTTAAGAGATAGAAACAACAAAGATTAAATTGTGAAATTAGACCAAAAAATAAACATATGGTTTTTAAAAAAAAAAGGTATAACTGTAACATGCAGGTTAGCTACAGTTTTTCTAACCACTGGTGAGACAAGAAATGTTTGAAGAACCAGGCACAAGAGAGAAGAAATAGCATACAGTCCACTGTTATTGCCATGTCTGGCATAGAAATGCATGTGATCTGGTTGGGCTTGGTCCAGTATTTTACAGATGGTGGCACCGTGTGCAAAACACTCTTATTGTACCTTAAATAAACATGCAGCTGATTATCATACTAATAAATGAGTGCTTGAGGAGGAGATGAAGTCATGGGCGACGGGTGCAATGGCTTCTCATATATACTTCAAAAATAAATCAGTAAATATCTTCAGTACAGTAACATTTCGAAAAAATATATCAAACATATACAATAAGCACTCCTCTTGAAGATTAAGTGTAGATGGGACCCTTGTGCAAACCAGCCAGTACACTGCACTTTACATTCTAACAGGAGTCCACGTGAAGTCTGGTGTTTGAACTGTTTCTTCTTTCACACTTCACAAAAGATCAAGCAGATTGCTGCGTTCCATTTTGACCACCATTGACTAATTTTCTCTCCTGCACCAAATAGCCCTACTCATCCACCTGAGCTGCTTCACAATACAGGACTAAATGAGATGGAGTGACTGCCTTTCACATCATTAAGGCCTTTAGTTTGCTACATTAGACACTTGAATGGAACCTTTTCAGCTGAGATGAATTCTGCTTCTTCATTGCTTTGTCATTTTATAAAGAAAAGAGACCGTTCTACCATCTGTTATACCACCTTTTAGCATTGCTTTAAAGTTTGTTTTTTTAAAAATCTCTACACCAGCGAGGGCCACATGAATGTTAAGCAAGGAAACAAACCCAATTAATTAGATAAAGAGAAAAGCAAAAGGTGTAGTAAGAGTCTACTGTCATGTTAGTGGTTATGTGAGGGGAGTTTGCATTATTGAACACTGCTGTTTGCTCAGACTGTGTGATACTTTATGAGGGAATGTGCAAGGATCTGCTAGGGTTCCCGCCATGTATATTTTGTCATCTCCCCAAGTCTAGGAGAGTCTGCACATGTCTGTGTGTAGCCCAAAATGTGCCCGTGCAGACAGTATGGATGGTGACTTTGCTGCAAAGGCAATAGAGGACATGCTTGGCAGTAATGTGTATATACGTGGACTCAACCTGTATGCAATGAGGAGTCTTCCAAGTGAACTCCCATAGGCCAGAAAAGTAGTGTAACAAACAACAAGAACTATGTGTCCGTGGGTGTCTGCAGCTGTTCATTTATGTGTCTGCACCAAGTAGAATAAAGGCATCAATCATCTCATGGTCAGTATTGGCAATAGCCTGTAAAATCTGTTTGCTTGCTTTTTGCCTTGTACTCTGGGAGCTTTAAACCCACTTTGCTGCTACTGCTTGTCTCTTTGATGACGCTGACCTAATGATTCCTTTTAAAAAAAAAACAGTAAGTCAAAATCAACAGCGGCATGACTTGAATCTCCTACATGCTTACTGCTGTTGTCGTGTCGCCTGTGTGTCGATTTGTATGGCGTCATTGCTGTTCTTAAAAACAGTCATGCAGATAACTAACAGTCCAAAGGAACCTTTTAGTTCCTTTAAAAAAAGTTCCTTGGGCTAAAGTTCTAGGTGCTTTGGATGAACACGCAGCTTGTAGGCGATGAACTGCTTGTAGTTAAACGCTAACATGCTCACAATGACAACAGTGATGTGTGCATGTTAGGAGACAATGTTCACCATACATCTTAATCTAGCATGTTAGCATGCTAACATTTGCTAATTAACGCAACGAACAAAATAAACCTGAAAGCTAATAGGATCGGGAATTACCAAATACCCACACAACTAATTTGTAGGTTTTTGGATCGAACAAATTGTTTTGTTTTTGTTCACTTGATGAGGGTGTCACAAGAAAAGTCACTAGAATCAACCTCAGGGAATCATCAAAGCCTGAGTCAGATTCAGTAATAATCTGTCCATGAGTTATTGACATATTTAAGTCCAGAACAAAGTGTTGCACTGACCAACATCTCTAAAGCCCCCACGCTAGCATAGTTAAAAACTGAATGAACTGAAAGTAGAAAATGAAAACTCTGCATTTCATGGAAATCCTTTGCATGTGTGTGTTTGATTTCCATTTTATATTTCTTCAGTGATTTGAATAAATTCAGGGTCTCCTGTCCCTTTAAGCAGAAAGCTAAAAGTAGCTTAGGTAGAACAAACAATGAAAAGTAATCTGAGTGATACACTGTGTTCTGTACATTTATTTAATACTTTTCTCTCCTCATTGCCATTATAATCCCACTGACTATTTTATAGGCGTAATGATCAAAAGGATATGATTCATTTATATGGATCATATCCTTTGGAATCTCTTTCAACAATTTTTTCCCCCCCTCATTTTTTTAAGGCAACACATCACAGAGCTGTCAGGGATTATTGTTGCGTCATTGTGCAAGCAGGCATCTGAGATTACAAGCTTCGTTACTGATGCTGCAAGAATTGGATTCGCTATGTGGAAGCCGATTTGTTTTTATTTCTTCACACTAAACTGATGTCACACATGGGAGCCGGCTACAGAAAGTCGAACCAAGACGAATATGAAAAGATCCCTCCTTCCCCTGTGGCGTAGAAAGATTGTTAATGCGTTTTGCGGGTGATGGAATTGCTTACGCATTAAATGTATTAAATGTGAATCTCTCTGGAGACCACTTTTGAACTATCTGCCACCAGATACTTGTGATACGGCACAGGAAGGACACATCAGTATTACATGGAAATCTCTAGAGGCGAGTTTATGACGATGGAGGTCATGTGGCTGCTGATGCGTGATTACTGGATGCTTACTGGTTTCTACTGTCAGTGGAAGTGGGTCGCAGAGGTTGTGTGTTAGGAATAGTATCGGGGCTGGACTAACCCCACACTGGGACATAATGAACTACTGGCCACCTGGTTGTTCTAATATTTGCTGTGTGTCAGTTAGTCTGTGTAAAATATCAAACTGAAATAAGGTATTATTTTGACACAAGGCAGTTAAAGAAACTACATCAACGTAATTGGCTCACAGTGAAGCTGTGGGCTTCTAGGCCACTTTGTCTAGTTGGTAATCCAGCCTGGATAGCGTTATTATCCATTTTGTTCTATTGCGTGCCCTTTTTAAATTTTTTTTTAAAGGTTTCTTTTTAAATTCTGTGTTTTATTTATGTGCTAATGTATTTTGTATTTATTTTATGCTTCAAAATGGGTACACAAGTGGGTTTTTAAAGAGGTTACGGGGTTAAGAATTTGAAAGCAGTGACTATAAATCTGTTAAATGCTCATCGTGTGCAACATCCTCTGTGATGGAAATGTGTTAAAAAAGAACCTTAAATTCACCTGCATTCAACAGTGTTTTATGTTGAAATATAGTGGATAAACATTTGACTTGCATGAATATTATGAGTACTTTCTTCAAAAACAATAAATAGCAGCACTCAGAAGGGTTAAATACAATTAACCTGCTAGCATCATCCCAATTCTTGTACTTGGTATAGAGACAGGTTGTGCTTTTCATATGCAAACGCAAAATAATGGCAACCACTTCAAAATGAATAAAATTAATGATATTCAAAACAGATCTATCAAATGTCCATGCTGCTCTGAATAACATCTGTGAATAAATACTGGGATATGGAGATTAAATTCCCATAGATCATGCTCTTATAAACATTTACGTAATAAAGAGGACAGGAGGTGACACATCATGGTATGAAAAGCCTGATTCATTTTCATTGTATAAACTGTAAACTACACTCCTGTAGTTCTTCCTCCATCATAACTGTTGCATTAGCAGATACGGAGATAATCCCCAGATATAAAAACTTATTCCAGAAGGGAAAAGGTGCCTAAAAAATATCACTGCATTAGGCCACACCAATGACTGAGGAGCAAGGCTTAGGTCAAAGTTCACATGTCCTGATACACTTATAGAAACAACCACAGACAGGCACAAGTTTTAACCACAACATGACCTTTTTGAACCAACCTGCTGTCAAATTAGACGGGAAACAGTCACTGCCTAAAAGGCTTTCACCAACGAGTCCTGAAAAGTGTGCAGTCTCTCTTCAAGAGAAACCGACCAAAGGAATATATCACAGAAGAACAAAAAAAAAAAGGAAACAAAATTCTGCTCCAGTAGTCACTGGGAGGGTACAGCACAAAATTCAACACCTGTCTCCTGGTGCGCCATCTCCTATTCGCACCAAAAAAAACAGGAGCCAGAGAGTTCCCGTTGGACTCTGAGTGGCTGCTGCATGCTGTCAGTCCTCAGTGAATTGCCAAGAGGAGGCCCCTCAGATCTGGGTGTGGTGGTGTTGGTGTCCGGGCGGCGTGTAGGGAGGAGGCGCCGGGTTGGGTTTGATCCCCCGGCTCTTCATGTAAGAGATGAACTGGTCGGGGATTTCCGCCAGCACATCTTTAGCGAGCCGCGCCATGCTTAACACATGGTTACCAGTCCGGTCCATATAATCTCTGAAGGGAACAAACTGAGGAAAAACAAGAGACATAAAAATGATGACGATAGGTTAATATACATGTGGATACAGAACAATGTGATTTTACTCTAACTGCATTCAACACATATGGTTTTGCTGTCCTAACATAATACCATGGGTTTTCAGACCACTGCTGGGATTCATCAAAAGCTCACAATATTTTTTGACAATGTATACAAGTAGGTCTTGAAGGCAGGGTGAGACACTAAATGGAGAAATCCAGGAGGCTCATGTTTAAGCCTCCATGTTAGTCAACATTTGCAGGATCCTGCAAGCTTTAGGATGATCATCCGTCACTAATCCTGTGCTTTGGCTTCCCTCAGGAGTGAGAGGAAATAATGAGATAAAGTGAAAAGACAAGTTTTGTTACTAGAGTTTGATCAACTGCTTTATATTTTTCGCTCTTTTGTATTATTTGTAACAGCACATATCCCCCTGGAAAATTCTTAGCAGAGGTGGTAAGCCATCCAAACCCAGTTACATTCATCTAGTGATCAATGTAGCCAATAGATACGTGCCCTAAGAGGAATGTCCATTACTGTCAACACTGTCAGACATCTGGCCTTAGGTTATTATGCTGTCATAACTTCAGGCAACCTTGCATATTGTCCTTTGCCCTCTATTGAGTCACTTAACTCTTCAGTTTTGACACTGCACAAGCAGAAAGAGAACAATTTAATAGAAAGAATGTGATAATTGTGCGAAACATTTTTCCTCAAGCAAGATATAAATATCAGACTGTGCTTGTGTCTTCATGGGAATTCATAGGAAGCTCACCGCTATCCTCATCTGCTTTTGCTGACAGATGGTGTTTTATTGTACCAGCACACCTGAAATAACCGTATGAATGCAAATGTGAAAACATGGAAAAAATTGCCTACAAATGGTATATCGAGTGGCTAAAGACTGCATTAGTTCTAATATTAGTCCATATAAAAAGTAGTCACCCCCATGAAAAATGTCCCCTTTTATTGCTTTTCAGCATTGAATCATTGTCAGTTTAATTTGCCTTTTGACAAGAATTTACTAAAAAATACTTTTTTTTTTAATGTCAAATTGAAACAGATTTCTTAAAATGTAGGCGATTGCATAAGTATTCACCCCCTTTAAAGTGACTCACCTAATTTAACACAGATGAAGTCAATTGGTGCTAGAAGCCACACAATCAGTGAAATAAAGATCTTCTGAGTGCAGTGAAAGTGTCTCAAGTGATTGTAGTATGAAGACACATGTATCTGGAAAACCCAGTCAACACTGCAAGCAATTCTGTGAAAATGTTATTGAAAGGCATAAGTCAGTGGATGGACACAGGGAACATTTCCAAGACACTGAATATCCCTTGGAGTGCAGTTCACTCTATCATTAAGAAATAGTAGAGATATGGCACATGTGTAAACCTACCCAGAGCAGGTTGTGGTAAAAAAAAAAAAAAAAAAAGAATGCCTGTGCAACAGTCAGACTAGAGAAGGAGTCACCAAGACATCCATGACTCTTCCAAAAGGAGTTATAAGCCCTCGCAGCTGGGATGGAGAAACTCTGCATACAACAGCTGTTGACAGGGTTTCTCGCCAGTTAAGCTTCATGGGAGAGCAGTGAAGAGGAATTCACTGTTGAAAAAGTTCACATTAAATATCAACTATAGTTCACCAGTTGGCATGTGGGAGACTCTAAAGTCAACTGGAAGATGGTTGTTTGGTCTGATGTAAACGTAGCTTTTTGCCCATCAGACTGAATGCTATGTTAGATGGACACATCCCCACCATGAAGCACTGTGGTGGCAGCGTCATGATGTGAGGACGCTTTTCAGCAGGAGGCCCAAGAAGGCTTGTCTAGGCAGAGGGAACAATGAATGCAGCAAACTACTGTAAATTCCGGACGATAAGCTGCTACTTTTTTCACACACTTTGAACACTGCGGATTAAACAATGACACGGCTAATTTATGGATTTTTATGAATTTGACTCGAGACGAAAGTGACATTTGGAGCAACACTGAAAGAGAGAGAAGAAGTGTGAGACGAAGGATTCTGAGGCTGTTCAATTCCGACAGTGAAGAAGACAACTTTAGTGGTTTTAGTGCGCAGGAGGAAGATGAGGATCGTGATCAGTGACTCTTCCTGGTAGGCTATTGTATTTTTTATTTTCTTAACCAGCCGTGTTACAGGCACTGTTCGGAAAAAAGCATTTACAGTACGTATTTGTGTATGTTACCGGTACGTATTTAATTACAAGTTTTAAACAAAATCTTTCTGTGTAACAGACGTGGACACCTGCGGCTCATAGACAAGTGCAGCCTATATATGTACAAAATTTGTTTTCTTTTTAAAGCTGGTGGGTGCGGCTTATATTCAGGTGCGCTCAATAGTCCGTAAATTGCAGTACAGGGAAAGCCTTAAGGAAAACCTGATGCAGTCTGCAAGAGAACTGTGACCAAGGATAAAATTGCTTTTAAGCAAGACAATGATCTGAAGCATACAGCCAAAGGGGCACAGAAATGGTTGAAAGACAACAAAGTGAATGTTCTCAAGTGGCCGAGTCAGAGGCCAGACCGTGATCCAATTGAGAATTTGTGGCTGGACCAGAAAAGAGATCATTTACACACTCAAAAGAATGGGGGTGAAACTGCACTGTCCAGATGTGAAAGACTGATGGACACCTATGCACACAGGCGCTATACTGTAATTGTGGGCAAAGGTGAAACTACTAAATACTGACTTGAAGCTGTGAATCCTTACGCATTTGCTCATTTTACATTATTTATTAATTACCAGGCATTACGTTGTCTAAATCTGCTGTCACTTTGACATGAAAGGGTCTTTTTAAAAATAAATTCTTGTCAAGAATCACTTAAACTGATCCCAATCCAGTGTTGAAAAGCAAATAAAGGAGAAAGCTCCTAAGGGTGGTGAATGTTCCTTATAGACACTATAAATATGATCCTGCTTTGCGTCCTTACAGTGTTGTGTAAAAAAGACAAAAATGCTCTCCAAAACTCCAGCATTGTGTGTTATCGACACATGGTCATAGTTAAGATTCTCTGTGTGCTTCCTTGGATTCTATGAACTTGGACCCCTCTCTGTTTGCCTCTTCCTGGTGTTGATGTCTGCAGTGAACACAGTCAAAGTTTTTTTTTTTTCTTTCTTCACACTGTTGAGGCCGTCACCTGCACAATGTCTCTCTCTGCCAGCTTCCCTCGGGATGAGATCCTGATGTCATCACCATCTAGTTCCACCATAGCTGGAAGACACAAGTTCACACACACATGCACGCATGCATGCACACACACAGTGTGAGAGCTCGGCAAAGACGGCTGCCTTCAGGACAGAGACTACTGATGGTTCAGTCATAACACACGGTATTAATGCATTATCTTTTTGTGTTGGGAGAGAAAAAAAGGATACAGAGCTGTACAGCTGTAATCTGTCTTTATAGCACATCTAATCAACTAATAAGTCCTTTATTATAGCCTGTTTCGCAATTTAGAATCATCAGCACTAAACACTGCAAACCCAACAATTAACCTCAGCCGTTTCTTCTACAATTACGCCTGCATCCACCTACGCATCCGCTTCTCTAGTGACTCAGATGAGTTGGTACAGTCATTTTTCTCTCTGGTGTTTCTCAGGATGAGTGCCAGGGAGGTTAACACTGGCTGTAGTCGCAAAATTAAATTGTCAATTATTCAGTGATGCTTTTATCTGTTTTACTGACCTGATTATTGTACATAGCATTAAAAAACAGAATATAACACCAAACGAAATTTGATATGATTTCTGACTATTTTTACAAAAGGAAATGAGTGAAATATTTAATAATACACTGATGCTGCAGTTAAAAAATTAAAGTTACTGTACCGTCAAACTCGGCCTGACCCACTCCAACTATGATGATGGACATGGGAAGCTTGGCCCCCTGTAGAGAAATAAAAAAACAAAAACGCATTGCCACTGACCTGTAGTGCTCATTACTGTGACATTGCTGTGACATTATGACATTGTCGCAGCTACATGTTCGCCCACATTACAGCCACACTAATGCTTTGCAACACCCGTTAACTAGCTGAATGACCTTTAAGTAAGAAAAGACCTCGAGAAAAAGAAAGAAACAGAGGGTGAGTTAGAGTTGGAGAAAGAGGCTGACACAGTGAGATGTTAACGTGAAACTTGATGTGTTTCTCAAACTTGCTTTTGTCTCCGCTTTCCTTATCCCAGATATTTTATGTCCCTGAATCGTCCCATTTTCTGTCATAAGAATGCACCACGGCTCTTATCTGGGGATGACACTCTGTGTTTGCCCGCTGAATGTTCGTTATCAGGATGAGGAGTGGAGATTAAACTCACTGACAACACTAACAGCATCACCTGAGGGGCTGGGCCAGCAGGTCAGTAGTATCAGTGCTGACGCCGTTTTGATAAAAAATAGCCAATCTCACCAACAGCGGGCTCCTCGCATAAAACTATTTTCACTCAAAGATATGATTGAATTTATCTCAAAATTTACAGCCAGGACAAATGAAATGCTGACCCGCAAAAGTAACTGTGTGTTGACATTAAAACTGTAAGCAGCTGGTTGAGGCAAAAGTCAGACTTTTGTCTACACGAAGGAGAGGAAAAAAAAAAGTGACAAGTCTGCCGGCAGACAGCTTGATAAGGTCTTACATGGCTGTGGATGGATGACTGCATTTATGAGGCAGGAGAGGAGGGAGAGGGAGGAGGTGCCAGCTTCAGTCACTACAGCAACCATCCTCATTCACCCGCCCAGCCACTCCCAGGCCACACCTCGAATCACATAACACTGCATTCAGCCTCCCAACTGTGGAGAGAAGTGGCTCTGAACAAAGGCAAAACCTAGATAGAAAAACATGAAATATAAAACTGCAAATTACGTCAAGGTTAATGGAACATAAAGGACTGGAAAATATTTCAATATCATGGTATATTAACCCTTGTTGGAATTGCATTGTGATGATATGGTCTCGCTATTTAATTTAAATTAATTCTCACATGAAACCTACTGTGATTTAACAGTCTGTGTACGATGTCTTCTGTGAGAGCACGCACCATCTGCACCTATTCATGTGTACGTACTTGCACAAGCTCCAATTTTGTCCACATAATACAACAAAGGGTGACAAAGAGAGTGTCGACAGATTTTCAGGTATTTGCTCATAAACGTACAGGGTTGTTCAAAGGTTTTAAGCACTTGAGATGTTTAGATTAATATTTATCGTGTCAAAGTGTCAGATTGGTTCCGCATTTGTTCCGCTGCATGAAAACAACCCCAAACATGCAGCCAGAACCACAACAATGAGTCCTGCAAGTTCTCAAGACGCCTTAAACAACCTGCCGGATAGCTTGTAGAAGTGTGTGCCAGCATACTTAGTGAGGATAAAGGCGTTCACAACAAATACTGATTTTTATTTTGCTTTTTTCTGTTCGTATGAAGTTATTTGATAAACTATTCATGACATTATTTTTGAAAGTATATGCATATGTGTGACAAATTGACTTAAAGTTAAACCCTTGGCCCTAAAGCGAGGGGATCGGCTGGCTCTGTTACACTGTGGGGGCCACTTTGCTGGCATGGTTTGCGTCCATGCTTATACCCTAAGAGGGAAGGGTTACTGTAAATGAATAGAAGGTTGTTCTGAATAATAGAAAATGATCTCCTCTTCTCATCCATAGGGCATGGGGGTGACTGAATGATTGGTAGGTGTAACAACTAAGGGAATCATATGATATTTGTAGTCACCAGATCTCAAATCAAATGAATGTGAGATTTTATTAGACAGAACTCTAAACCATCACTATCAAAACACCCAATCAGGGAATATCTTTTGGAAAAATGGTGTTGCATTTCTCCACTGAAGTTCCAGAGACTTGGAGGGTAAAAGCCAAAGGAGCACTGAAGCTGTTCTGGCAGCGTGTGGTGGCCCAGTCTGGTACGTTACCTCAGAACTATGAATTTCTGCACAAAATTTGTGCCAATCAAGAAAATGTAGAATTTTAGTTGCTGGTGGCACCACATGAAAAGTCAGGATTCACCAGAATCTGTAGAATTCATCCTCTGGGTACATAAGTGTTTGTACAACAGTGAAGGGGAAGTAATCCAGTAGTTGTTGAGATATTTTAGTATGAACCAAAACTTTGGAGGAACTGATCAGTGTCAAGAGTCAGACCACTGCTGTTTCAGTTATTTTTTCCAGATGTTATTTCACTTGGATTTTTGAGCTTCGCTGTGTGGAAAGATGTATGTGTTGATATGGACATTTGAATGCCATTTTCACATATAGGACATCTGCTGAAGGGAGCAACTTTCTCAGTGCCATCCTAAATCTCATGTGAAAGCGGATTTTGTGATTTTACAACTGGCTTGGTCAACAGTCAGGGTCTAGTATGCAACTTAAACAACTTTATTGTTGGGTAATTGAGAGGGGAAAAAAAAAACATCTCCTAAATGAATATTCCAAGCAATGCATTTTCAAATATCTTAAACCTAGCTGGAGGAGCTCTTTGTAGATAGATAACACCATAAATGCTCAATGCCAAAGCTGCTATTATCTGTAACAAGTTTCCTGGAGGACCATATCTTCACAAAGCCGTCATATTAAGTACATTTTTATCTCTGGCACAAGACAAATGCACTGTGGCAAATCAAAAAAACCTCTTATTGCCACAGGGATGAGAGCAGTTTCTGTCAACACTGCCTCACCCGCATCACATCAACGCGATTATCAGTATTCACCACAACTCCTGTCAGTGCCTGTCCTCCCACACACATGCACATGCAAACACTCACACTTGCAGATACCCATGTGTGTGTGTGTGCGTAGCTGGAAAGATACGCACGCATCCGAACATCAAATGCCACCAAAAATAACCTGGCAATCCACCATGCTCCACTTTTGCCATCCTCCTGTCACCCCGTCTAACAGGAGAGATCCGGTCTAATGAGACAACAAAACAAGGCGTGAATCAACACCCATTACTCCAACAGCTCACTCTGGGGGTGCTTCGTAAATCCAAATGTCACGCGTGTGCATGTGGGTGTGTCACAAACGGGCTTATGGATATGTGTTTGGAGAAGCGACTGTACTGTCCACACACAGCGGTCACCTGAGTCATTAGACCATCTCTCATTGGCCGACTCAAAGGTCAGCTTCAGGAAAAGCTTACTTAGCTCTATTGTTCACATGTTGACAGAATGAACTTTGCAGAATAGAGCATAGATTTAATATAAATAAAAAGCTTTTAATGTTTCAGCATCACATACTTTGCTATTGAGATTCCATAATTATCTTCAAGAAATTTTATAGCTATATAAAATATAGTTAACGCTGTTCTTTCAGCATTTATGTAACTGGGTATATTGTTTGTATGAGACCTCAGTGTTCAGTTATTTTATTTCTAGTAACTTCACTCTTAAATAATTGTGTTTATAGTCCTATTACAAGAGCACATATGGCAAGACAGCATTAATCTGCAACTCAAGTGTCTGCCAAAAAAATGCAATGCCATGAAACGGCTTTAAAAATTACATAGCTATTTGTCTCCTATTCTTACTTCCCACCCAAACTTGTGTAAGCTGTCATCCAGCAGTCACCTTTGTAAATGCTCCACCAGCTGTTGTTGCTGACTTATGACTCCCTTAAGACAGCTTGAATAAAAAAGAAGGCAATGTGAGGTAATTTGCTGTCTGTTAAACTCCCTCCTGAAACAATAAATTTTCCAATCACAGCTCCACAATTGTACCTATAGTATACAAGCAACACCTGTCAAGCTTTAGGATTTCTTAACACAACAAGATGATGTGCCGCTTGGTATTGAAGGGTTTTCAGGCGTCATTTACTAAATCAAAATCACAAAAACACAAATGTAAGAAATGAAACGATCCGTCTTATCTGCTCAAACATAAGCTGCGGTGATAAGCTGCTTATTTATGTCAACTACACTGGTAATTCTGAATTAAAGAATTAGCTGACTTGTACTGTGCAGTGGTTAGCACTGTTGCCTCGCAGCAAGAAGGTCGCCGGTTTGTGTCCCTGTGGGGGCACCGGAATCTTTCTGCGTGGAGTTTGCATGTTCTCCCCGTGCAGGGTGGGTTCTCTCCGGGTTCTCCGGCTTCCTCCCGAACAGTCCAAAAACATGTTGAGGTTAATTGGTGATTCTAAAATTGTCTGCAGGTGTGAATGTGAGTGTGCTTGGTTGTCTGTCTCTAAGTGTAGTCCTGTGTCCCCTGCCTTCACCCTAAGTCAGCTGGGATAGACTCCAGCCCCCCCGCGACCCTAGTGAGGATTAAGTGGTGTATAGATAATGGATGGATGGATGTACCGTGCAGTAGGCTATTTCTCCGCTTTGTGGATGCCGGTTCCTAGATACTGTTGATGTTTAAGCAAATGTTTTTGCTCTTTAATGGACTTAGAGAAGGTCACACTCCAGCAACTCCAGCGTTGCTATTCTAGATGGTGTGATATTCACCATACTGTTTGAAAAGACAAGCAATTACGTGGCCCACCACCCTTTACTCGAAAGCATGGACGCAGGTGGAGGTATGAAATAGTTGTCGACCTTTGCCTTTGCGGTTTCTCCCTTGACAACACCTCCACCTTGGCCTGATTCCACAAGCTGGCACTAAAGCTGGATGACTAGCAATGATAAAATCTGTCAATGACAGTCATCTTTTGCAGCCAGAAAAATTGATACTGGCCAGCTAGGATGAATGAATAGCTTCTTTTGTCCATTTATCCAACATAAAGGACAGTAATTACTAAGAATACTGACTGTTAAACTGCCCTAGTTATCACTGAAAGTGACATGCAAGGCGTGCAAGAAAGAACAGTAGTAACAATTATCGATAAGGAGCATAGCAAACAGTCAGCGATTGTACAATATGCTTCACTTCATTAAATGCAATGTGCAGGACCATGATAAGGTCATGACATATGCAAGAATTGTCACCCCTCGAATTTAGATCCTGTAGGAATTATGTAAAGAGCTAATGGAGCGTGGAACCTGTACATGTTGTGCTGTATATAAAGACATCCTGCAGTGCTGCTTCAATAACAAGCCCACAACAGTCAAAATCATGTCTGTCAAATCAAATGGATAACTGAGCCATAAAGTGCACCACTTTCTACATTAATTTAGATCTTTTATTGTTTCTCCTACCCTTTTTCTCCACGCCGTAAACTTTAAACATTACCACTTACAAAACAAGTCCTGCACCCAATACGAAGTGAATGGAGGTAAAATGGTTTTGAAGTGAAGTGCTTTTAGTGGGTCCCTGCACTGATAAAGAGATAAAACACAAAGCACTGACAGATAACAAGTAGAAGATGAGAAAGGAAAGAAATCAAAGGCAGCAGGGGATTTTGTTATAGATTGAATGTGGTGACAGAAGTATGGAGACAGGAGACGAAGACAAAGAGATCTTTGAGTGGGAAAAAGATGGAGAGAGACAGCAAATGTCTTTGTGTTTGTGAGCAGGGGAGTCTTGTAATTCCATAGAGAGAAATAAAATGAGGCAGCGGAGGGACCCGGGCTGTGAGTGGAGGAGGGGCTGCTGAGTGACTGACAGGTGGATTTTTGTTGTGTATCAGAATCAGCTATGACGGATCAACCCCCTCTGTAGCCCAACATGGACACTCCCAAAATTCACATTAAAAATACCCGCATACACAAACCCACTCTGGAGAGTTGTGCACATTCGCTCTCACCCCGTTACTCAGGTCTTTCTCGGAGATACTTCACCGCATGAATCAGTATGAGAAAGACTTATATAACCTCAGCACTGTGTCCTCCCTCACCCAGGATCCGTGGCGAGTAAAAAGGAAAGCAGTGCAAGCATCGGTAGGCCAGAGGAGTGGAGGCAGTGAGATAGAGCAGCAGGCAAGATCTTAAAAGGAAGGTGTGGCTGTTCTAATGTTTTGATTAACAGTCGCAAATTCCCTTTAAATCCAGTCTGCTGGGTGTTCTGTGCCTGCGGCGGGCTGAGGAGGAAGAAGAAGTGGAGCAGAGAAAAGAGGAAGAGACCGAGGGAAAGGAAAAGGGGAAGGAAGCCTGCCACCTGCTATTTAAAGACGAGAGAAAACAGGAGTGAGGACAGGTTTTGAGGAAAGCTTTAAGGAAGAGTCTCAATGTTGTGTTTTTTTATTTTTGAAGGTAATTGATTATTCCATATATTGATCTTGACAGCACTCTGTGCAGTTCAATTGTTTTAAAATAAGACATTATCTCACAAACATGTTCGTTATATTAAGCCATTACTCTGGTAATACTACTCTACTACTCTTTTACTTGCCATATTGCAGAACAACTGCTACTGTCTCCTGCTGTCTGTGGACTGGGATGACAACCACAAAGATCATCGGGGTGACATATTATTTTTGAGGGAGCGTCAGAACAACACTGAGGCATTAGCTCAGTAACTGAGTGGACAATTAAAAAGTAAATAAACATAAACCGTTTAAGTAACTGATTATTTTTGATCTATCAGTCATCAATCAATATAATTTCAGCTTTTCAGATATGAGGATCATTGACTTTTCTCAGGTTTATATCAGTGTAAATTGAGTTCTTTGGGATTTGGGGACTGATCAGACAAAACAGGAAATTTGCGAATGTCACCTTCAGCAATGTGTAAATGTGAGCAGCATTTTTACTGTTAGACATGAGATGTGATAAGTTTGGGATTTTGTGAAATATGCTAAATTGTCTTGTACAGTAAATGTGAAGGTTGAGCCAACTGTTGGTTTAATTTGAAAATTGGAACAACGCCCACTTGGCTTTCCTGTTGTTAAAATGAGGTTGCCAGGAAACAAAGAAAGAAAAACCCACCTGTGTTTTTACACGTTCAAAAAAACTATATATAGTAATCTTGTGCAGCGATACACTACTCCCAGTGCTCCTGCCATGTTTGGAACACTTTCTGGAAGTGTCATTCTGGCCATTTGCATTTATGATAATATTGTGGAACTCAAACTTGCAAGTCGAGAATCATGACGTGATGAGGGTTGGGTCTATGGCTACAGCTCAGAGTATAGGAGCTCGCAGTCTCCAAGACTGAAGGAGGCACATTATAGCAGTAATGCAATCAAGAGTAGGTTCATTGTTGTCTTCTACATTCTTGGGGTTGTGCAATCGAAATTGGTCCCATTAAGGTCCGACTGTCAGTGCCAAGCTCTACCATAATGTCCTGAGGGAGAACATTTGGCATACCAATGCACATCCACTTACAGTGAGTTACTAAAACACTATTGTCTGGCTGCACTAACTCAGTCAGTGCCGTCCGCCTGTCCCACTCACCAGACTGGCTTCCTGTGACTTCTTCCTCCTCTCTAAAATGAAATTCAAGCTGAAGGGTTGCCATTTTGACACAGTGAAGAAGATCCAGTGTGCGTCACAGATGGTGCTTGATGCTCTTACAGAACGGGACTTCTATGGAATGTTCCAAACATGGCAGGAGTGCTGGGAGCGGTGTATCGCTTCACAAGAAAACTGCTTTGTGGGAAACAGTGGCCAAATTTGAATCTGGGACAGTTTTTGCGTTTTATGAGTGCAGTCTTAGAACTTCTTGATTGCACTTTGCATGTATCTGCAGGAAACATGCATATTTCCAAAAATGTCAGACTATGCTTTTAATAGAACAAGACATTGATTCATATTGAAAGTGATTTCCGTTTTACTCCTTGACATTCTTGTAGGCGTATCCGTCTAGGCATTTCCAAACAACTGGGCATATATGTCCTTACATACTGCAGGAAAACACAGTGTCTCCCCCCCTTTCCCATTCTTACATTTACAATGGCCTCTTTGGTTTGGGCCATGTCTGAAATGACGCCGTCCGTGATGATGAGGAGCACAAAGTACTGAGAACCGTCCTGCACTGCCGCCGCATATCTGCAAACACAGACAGAAACAAAGGATAGAGGAGGCTGTGTTATCTTTTTAATACAAGAATAAACCTGACATGAGTATTTATTCATGGATTTATCTAAACATTGATGTGGAAAATAAATTCATGACAGTACACACCTTATCACGTGCTCACACCACATGCAGATTCAATAAAAATGTTCTTTGTCATCGCTGTACTTCAGATAACACTCAATAAAATGCCTCATGAGTACACACTAATTAATCCAACCAAACAATCGAGTTTAAAACAAAGCTGTTTGGTTCACAGATTAATTTCTTTGTCAAAATCCTTCCTTCCTATATGAGTTCACCTATTCAAATGCTAAACACTAACAGGTTGTGTATCCTCGCAGCAGTGGCTCATTGCCACAGTGTAAAACTCCATGAAGACTCCATTTTTATCAGACATTTTGAATTAGCGTGAATGAGTGTTGGTGTCATCAGATGGAAAATTGTTTGGATATGGCTATACAAATAAAATGATGATGGGAAACGATGACAGTGAGAGGGGAAAGTTGGTGTCGCAACCATGAGACTAGTCAGATCATGTCGCAGTTTACATAGTTTGAGTGACGTTCCAGTGTACATATTAACAACTACAGGCCCATTTGTCATTTATTCCATCAACTAAATCTGATCTTTCTTTGTTTTTTGATAATTGTGAGCCAATCAAAAATCATTTTCAGGCATATCACAGCCTGTTTAATGTGACTGATATTGTTAGTGGGAGAGAAATCAAAGCCAAATTAGGCCAGTAGTCAAAAATGTTAATATGACTGAGTGATTACAGTAATTTATGCAAACATTGCAATTTCCCAAAAGCAGATTCTATCTGAATTGTTGTTACAACATCATATGTAAGTCTCTCTACATATGAATTACAACAAATACATTTGTAAGCTTTTCCTTGTATTCATTGTTTTTAGCATTTGAATATGAGTGTAAATTATAATGAAAGAACCACAAATGGGAGAAGAGCAAAATCTGCAGTGATGACACAACAATAACTGAAGCTAAACAAAGAGAATAGACAATCTAAAATATAATATAAATGAACTTGACAAATAAAAGGAAGAGGTTTTTTTTTTTGGCTTAAGTGTAAGAAAGTTAAAGTAACACTGCCTCTGTCCAGGTCTTAAATTTAATAAAAGACCAGCTCTTTTGTCTTCGTTGCTATGCCACTTTAATTGGAAGGGAAAAAAACAGAAACTGTTCTCTAGCTTTCATTCTTCTCTCACCTGGCAACATGATTCACCACAGGAGCGAAGTTGGTTGGCCCGTACAACTGCACTGTCTTCAGACTCTGATGGTACGCCTCTAATATGCCTTCAATGCCGTTGCAATAAGGATTTTCCATATTTCCATTCTGAAAAGGATGAAGGCAATGACTACGGATGGCAATGTCATCGTCTTGATGAATGCATTTATAAAACTTTATCTTGACTTCCTTGGATGTCATTTACTTGTTTCTGTTCAGATCCATAAATTAGAATTAGTGTCAGTAATGGAAAAAGAAAATGTACTGCAATTATTTTGTGTGAGTGGAAGTTAATTGAACTAAGTCATCGAAAGTGAAATGAGGTGAGGAGGATTCACCAGAGGGAACTCATGTGACACCCGGCCATCAGGCGGCAGTTTGGCTCCAAAGCCTAAAGCGGGAAACATCTTGTCGCTGTCATAGTCCTGAATGATCTCCCCAACAGCTTTCAGTGCCATGGCATAGGCATTCAGCTGGTAGGGGTTCATGTAGTGCAGTGAAGTGGACTGGGAGGGGTTACCTGTTAACACATGAATCAATCGTGAGACAATCATAAGCTATGAAAACATGTTCAGACTTCTTCAATGAAAAATACTGTTCTTGAGAGCATTTCTGCCAACGATGTGGCTTTACAAGCTATAGTGTTTGTTGCTATCATTGGCTACAAATAAAATGACTCCCATCAGGCCGAGCTGTTGTTCAGTCCTCAGAGATGATGGATCATAAATTTAAAAAAAATTTGTTGTTTTTGTCAACATGTCCATATGGGTTTTTTATATGCTGAAAGACACATCATGAGTGTAATAAGGATTCAAAGAAGTGAACAAGCATTTTCACCTTGTAAATGCAGCGTACCAATGACAGTCTCCAAAACACAGATTTACACTGTTTGACATGAACAGTCGTCCTCAAATGTATTCATACCGTTGCATTAAAAAAAGGCAAAATTCACAATAGTCACTCAAATAACTAGAAACTGAAAAAAATAAAATAAATAAAAAATGCTAAATTATAATTTCATGAAATAAGACATTGCTTTGGAATTGTGGTTGAAAATAATAATTTAAAAAAATAAAAAATTGTATCAGACAAATTAAAGCACTTTGCTGATGAGCAGTGGGCCAGAATCAAAATACCTGTCAACAGGTGCAGAAGTCTGAGTGGGAGTTACAGAAAACACTGGACTGCAGTCATTTCCTCAAAGGGTTGTTCAACAAAATATTAGTTTATGGGTCCCATCATGCTCGTTTTTTTTTTGTTTGTTTGTTTGTTTTGTTTTGTTTTAAATATTTCTGTTGAATCACAATTCAAAAGCAATGTCATGATTTTCATTAAATTGTTATTTATTTTTTACTTTTGTCAATTTCAACTTATTTCAGTGACAGCTGTTCTTTAAATTCTTTAATGGGAAGGTATGAATAAATTTGAGGACGACTGACTCCCCTCTCTGTATTAATAGGGTTAGGGTTATTATCGCTTATTATTGGTACCCTAACTTGAGTAGGTTTTTTCAGGGTTTCCAACGGGAGTTAAATATCAACATTTTAAAGCATGTTATTACACACCTTTAAAAACATATTGGTGAAGAAATTGTTTGGTAACGATTTAGTTGGCAGATTTTGATATGTTTTCCTTACTATATGCTCCTCTGACCAAACAAGCAAGTGATGGTAGTCAACTCAAAAGGAAACATTACTTGCGGCTTGCCAGAGGGTTCAAACCCCACGCTCCTGAACACAAGCCTTCTGTTTGCCCCATGCCACCACCATAGCACATGCCCACTGTGGACGTTGTTGCCATTTATACTCTCTCACCTCATTTGGGTAAAACCACCTGTGATTGGCTGAAGTCTCCCATCACATGCTAGTATTTCCTGTAAATGAACGCAAGAGGAGGTGCAGGAGGCTAGTTTCCTCTCAGGCCAAATAAATTACAAAATGCTGCAAGGATAGAAGGGAGTTTTACCCAGTGGTGCCCAAAAGATGACTGTTTACACTAGCTTTAAGGAAGCTCGGCAGTAACTGTGACCTTCTCAGATATCCCCTCTGTACATCCTGAATTCACTCAGTATTAACAGCCCAGCTGGGATATTTTGGATGTGTGCTAGAAATAGTTGTTGTCATTGCATCCAGTGAGGTGACATGTGCTTGCCACCGGATTTCTCATTATTTGATAGTAGAAATCCTGCTGTTTGCCTGGTCGGGCTGTGTAATCATACACTCTTACAGGGTGTAATACAGGTGATTTTATCTCAAGTCCAGAGTGCAACATTGAATTACGTGATACTTTAACCCTTTTCACACATAGGGTCCATAGGATTTCTGGCTTCATCAGTCTGTTAAAGTGACACCTGTTGTTTGTCAGAAATAAGCCACTTTTGTGATATACTAAATGAGTATTTAATAAACTATGAAGAAAACACCAAAAAACTGCACAAAGACACAAACCAAACTGTGATTCTGTGTGTGACTGCTCACCTGTCTGATGGAAAGAAAAGCACACAATGTGATTTGCAGTTTCTACACCCAGACTGATCCACTCCCCATCGGATAATTTATAAGTATTTAGTGAAGTTAGTGGCAATGTTGTTACGCGTGCACAAATGCGCACAGCTCTCTCTCTTTAGATTCTGCTGATGTCCGACGTAGCAGGTATTCAGTAAACTCGGAAGGTAAACTACAAGCAGCTGGATGCAAGAAAACAAACTTCACCTCCTGTTAACATCTTGTGGGGCACAAATAGAAAAGTGGATTGCATTCATTGTTGGTGAGTAACGTTAATCTAAGCTGTTAGTGGCTGTTTATATCAAAGTCAAGTTTTCTTATAATGGATATTTCAATTTGTCTCCTAATAGATTTGAAGTTGTAGAGGAAAGTGAAGGAGAAAGGTGTGTTGTGAGTGTGTGTTTGGCACACAAACCGGGCCTTTAGTGCTCTCTGTGATGTTTCTGGACGAATATTGCTACTGAAATGTGGAAAAAGACTAGTTCAGTTGCCGTCAGATTAACGCAGCGGAGTGCATGACTGAAAGGGGCTTATGACCAACACCCACGGTTGAGAACTGACAGGTGATTTTTGCAAACGTCCTCCCCAGTTACTCCCGCTACCACTGTCAGGCTTTCCATTCTCATATGTCACATCAGCAGTTTACAATGATAACGGTGGCAGATTTACCATCAAACTTCATGTTCATTTCTGATGATGACTTGATTTCTCGTAGAGATTGATTAAAAACATTTGTCTGGTGTTGCTTTTGGCAGGTGAGATGTAATCAAGCCTAGATATCTAATTAAATTAGAGTCAGCTCCCTCTCGCTAACTCACAAGTGAGAACCCTTTAAAAGTGGTTTAAAATATGCGATTTCTACCAGATGTCGTGCTAGAAGATGAAAGCCATCATCCTCACTTACTGATCTATGTCGACATGGAATTGCAGAAACAGGACATTTCAAACCGGTAATATTACCACAGGGTGCAGTAAATCAACCAGAGTTAGCTTTAACACAGGTAATAAGGCCTGCAGTTCCCTGTTAAGGCTGCCAAGGTAGGATCGTGCACATGTTTTTCAAGGGGCGAGGTTAGCTGAGATCAATAGAAAATGGGAAATTAAATTTTTTCTCTAATAACTGTGATTCACACTGAAGAGCTCTTCTTTGCCAATAGATCTTTTGGAGTGTTGTGTTGGATTCTAATTAATGGCCTAAATACTGTTAGACTTAAGTGCGGTCCTTTCACACACTGATGTCTTTTTGTCAAACTGAGGGTTTTGCTCCATTTACTTTATTTCATTTCTCCTAAAATGCCTGCTATGATCTCCGTTTGAAGCATATTGATGGAGCATTCAGGATGAAGAACTTTCCAGAAAAGGCCATCGCTTATCGGAGAGGCTACGTGTACAGTATGTGTGGCCGTACTGTCTGCTCGCGTTTGTGTGATTGATTCTGAAATTGGACATGCCACAGTCAAAGAGCACTACTATCTATTCTTGCCACCCCTCCAAACACACACTTAGCTGTTAGTATCACTCACCATTAGATGCTGTGAAATCAATGGCCACAGTGAAATTGATCTGCGTCCTAGAAGGGAGATGGAAAAGGGGGACATTGGAAAAAAATCAACAACAGAGACCAGGCAGCAATAACAACATGCCAGGTCTCATTAAATTCCAGTGCTCTCACAGCCAGTGGACACACACATATATATGTATGGCTTGTGACACAATATGGAAAAAGTTACAAAAAAGATTAAATATATAATAATGACTCCGCATGATGACCAATATTTTGTTTCCTCACTAACTAAAGACACAAGGTGAAGTCACTCAGTTGTTTATCTGACTTTCATCATCACGAGGAGAAGCAGGAGGTGCCGAGGAGCCTCTGAGACACTGAGCCTGGTAACAAGCAATTAGACTGATGGAGCACTTAAGAGCAAATCATAATCCAATTTTCCCTGCTGATGAAGCACTCCCCTCTTCTTGCTAATTTACGGCAATGAGACGAGGCCTTCGGGGGCCCGAACGACAGCCTCTCATTATCTGTGAGAGTCACCAGGGACAACACCAAAAGAATGATAATAAAATGAATGGGTAAAGGATTCACATTAACCTTTCAGTTTGGGGTGGGGATGGAGAATATGCCACAGCCTGACCCCCCTAACCTTAGCATTAATTAAACTTCATTTTATTAATTCATAAGGCCTTTTTGAATGAATGTCTGTGTCTGCATGGGGAAGGCAGCTTTGCAAAATGCCCATCTACAACGAGACATTTTTCCTGTGTGATTCTCCTGTTTTTTTTCCTGGTCAGTTGAAATTTAGGTGAGTCCAGTCGGTGTACGTATGTCTGTGTTTAAATGTTTGAGCTAAAGGTCAGTCGGACATCTTTTGTAGACTCTTGTCTCTCTGGCAAAGATTTGTAAAAAGAACCGTCTTGACACTGCTGTCTCATTATGTAGAAGTTCAAGTCTTTTCTTTTTCCGTACTCGAGTTCCTTCATTCTTTTGTGATGCTTTCTAACACAACTTCAGCTGCTGTTCTTTTCTCTGTGGGTAAATGAGAACATAACAGCAGCTGTTTCTGAACTTTTACTAACAATTCTATGGACCACATGCTTGTTCTGTTTTAGCTTTTCCTTTTTAAAACACTGCTTCATCCCAATTCATATTCTAGGCTGGTAAAAGGTAGCGTTGTTAAAATTATTAACCTGATATGAGTGCTCTGAGCACTAATCAATGTGGAGAAATGACCACTCTCATTACATTCCAAGAATGTCATGGCCTCCCAGTGCTTATCCTCTAACTGCCTCTCTCCTTAAGAGTTTGAGAACGCGAAAAATCAACAGTCTGACGACATTTCATTCCATCTCAGTGCTTTTAAACTATTTGAATAGTCAAATTATTCTTGTCCTTTCATGATTACAGTGGTTGTCAAATAAGATGTAGAAGCTGCCAGAGTTCACTTTTCATCACGATGAAAGCTGTAAAGCTGAATGTTACAGAGAAATGCTTTAACAGTCTGTGAAGAAAAGATGCGGTATTACTTCTGTTATGTCACTGCAAAGAGCTCAGACAGTTTAAACAGCACACTTTCTTAACTTTCATCCATTTTCTAAAGAGTAAGAGGCTCCTTATTTGCAAGAACCAACTCCGTAATACGTCATTCGGTAAGTGCCAGAGTAATGTTAGGGGGCAGACTGATGAGGATGATATTTCTGAAGTGCGGCCACTAAACCTTAAGGTTATTGTATCATAAATCAGCCAAAGCCAGGAACTGTCAGCGAAATCTGTCACACTTGTCAGCTCTGCCACAGCACATAAAACCTCTGACAGCCGACCTGCTGTGGTGGGACAGTGGAGATCAAAGCAGAGTCCAACCTGCCTGAGAGGCACCACACTTCACCTGAGAAATACTTGATATTCATACGTCAGCCTCCAGTGCAGAAACTAAACCGAGGTCGAAGGGCTGGTACACTTTGTGAAGACGGTTTAGCTTTAGCCAACTCATTTAAATATATATTTACTACAGACAGGACCTGCTTTGAACTTAAAAATCTGTTTTAAAAAAATCCCAGTGGAACATTGCAGTTTAATGAAGAATATATATATATATATATATGTGTGTGTGTGTGTGTGTGTGTGTGTGTGTGTGTGATTCTTTATTTTATGTTCTTTTCTTCTTTAATGCAGTACTTTTGGCCATCTATTTTATCAGTAAATAATCACAGTCCTTCTTTAAAGCTGGTATATTAACAAAGGCTTAAATTACTATGTGTAATGTGAAAGAGCCAGATATTTTCTTGGAGTTTTTCTTGGAATGCAAACCGAGCTGGGCAGGGAGTGGAAATGGTACTTGCCAGACGGTCAGAAACGCAACACTAACATTGCTTAGTGTCTTAAGAATGTGTAAAGAGGCTTAATGCAGCATTTAATAAATAGACAACATCTTCATGATGCCATGAAATGAACATTTCACCTTCGTGGAAAACTCCTACTGCAGTGTTAAGTATAATCATAAAGTGATCACATATTTTTAGCGTCTTTCTGCACCTGCTGTGAATGTTCTACTTTATGGTGTGCCTCATAACTAAGTGAGATTCAGTTTAAGTATGCAGATGGTCATTCCCACTCACCCTCCTTTGATGTAGTCTAAGAATGTGAACTCTGACTCCACTGAGAACGAGAGCAGGGTCACCTGAAATTAAAGACAAGGAGAGAGATTTGATTAAAAACAGTGAGATTGATGTTTTTCTCGTAGTACCAACCTGCCCCCCTCCCCCCCAAAAAAATACCCCCCTTTCACATCTTGACTTATTTAGCACTTCACACTCTCTCTTTGGTATAAGATGTGAGCCAGGTTCTTTCTGATGACTGCTTCATTTGCATTGCCAGAAGACAAGTTTGAAGACAAGATGAGAAGCATTCGTATGCATTACTTGCTCATCCCTGCACTGCGAGGTAAGCTGTGTGAAAATTGGTGTCTCAACTGGTTGCTGGTGTTGTCCACTCTGATCTCTCAGAAATGAAGTCCTCCATGTTCTGCAGCGTCTTCGTCCTTATGTTGCCCCACTTACATACTTTTATGCAGACAGTTTTTTTTTACAAGCTACAGCACATACATGTCCCCTTCAGACTCCTAGTATACATCCACCATCATCACCTTCAGCACCACACGCAATATGTACAGCTATTGGATTTACAAGCAACTTTTCAGTAAGGTTTTGTCTTTTAGCTCAGTCTCAACAAAAGCTTCCCTCTTTCGCTATCACTCAAAGGTTTAATTATCTGTTGCGTGTGATTAATTAATGAAGAAATGTACTTCATGCCCTTTCAAAACTTAGAAAGCACATCATCTTTCAAAAATCCAACATTTGCATGATAATAAAGGAAGGAATCGTTTAACAGAAGTGTAATAGGTGTGCAACAGAAAGGAGGCAAAGTGCCATTCCTGATTAGCTGCTGGAACCATACTCACTGTTCCCGAGTTGACATATTTCTTTTTCTTCATTTTCTTCTTGGTATTAATCACCTATTAAAAACACAAGCAACAAGGGATACAGCTAATGTAGTCTGCAAACATTATGGCTGTGATGTGACTAAAACAGTAGAATTAATAATGTGGCTTTGGCACAAAATCTCAATACATGTTATGCTACATCATTTTATACAAAAGACATGCAGTATTCACATACATATGTGAATATAAAACACTGATTGCTATTGGTACGGATGCTGTATACAGGTGTAGTACCAGTGCCAGTAATAAAATATTGGAATTATGTTTTAGGGAATGATCACAAAATCTGACAGTAGTGAGATTACATAACTATATTCATAAAAACATGTATGTTTCTTGGCTAAGCTCTTCAGGTTTTTATGCAAACTGTGACACAACCACTCAGTCTTTTATATCCATCTCTAGAAGACCATAATTATGAAACTGAAGTTGGCAGCAACTATGTATTTTTACACACATTGAAGTAAAATTTCCACCCCTCATCATACCTCAACACCCTTTAATTTTGCTACGCAATTAAATCCTAATTGGCTGCAACATATGCAATATAGGCTTGTACGTGGGCGGTATGAGGACATTGCGTTCCATCACACGGATGTATGCGGTTTGTAGGCAGGATGAGCAATGAGTTTGTCCATATGACTGATAGATGCATGTGCATAAACTAACAAATGGGTGTTACAGGACAGTACGGCACATGTAGGAAACATTTCATCTAGAAACATACGGTGCGCTCATCCATCAATCACTATTAAATGGAGGAAGATTGGAAATGCAAACATGAATCTCAGATTACAATGAATCGATGGGTGAGGGAGGCAGGCTTAAGGTGCAAGACTCGCATTTACTTTACCAGTATTCTATCAGCTCCGGAACAAGAGAGAAATGTCAATCCGAAGACCAAAGACGTCTCAGCTCATTACCTCAATTCTCTATGGCTGCTAGGCATGAAAGTGACAGCCCCTAATTTAACATGGAGGGATGGCAATTTGTCTGACACACTGAACAATCTGCTGATGCAAAAACTAAAGGGCCTTTCAGTCTCACTGGGAGGTAGAGTGGAATCAACAGCAGCGTATAATGGAGCTGACATCTTAAAGACAGGTATTTGTCCTTTGCTGAAGGCCACCAAACCACAGAGGCATTAAAAAAAAAAGAAAAGAAAAAAAGAGCGCGGTAAGATTTTTGACTTTTAACATCCATTCAAAAATTCTAATTCTTTTCAGGAGGGTTGATTGCAGACGGTCGCCTAAATACTTGTAATCCTATAATTGTCACAGTTTCCTTATAAATTAAAGTAATAAATTCTGTTTTGGGCAAAAATAAATGGTGGTTTCGACAAACACGGGGCACACCTGAGTCATTTTGAGTTCTTGCAGTTCAATCTTGGATTCTAGGATGAGACATTTAAATGAGTTGTGTTGGTAATTTGCATACAGAGCTGTATTGTATGCTATTAAGAGAGACAGTAAGCTATCCCCTGAGAACTACTGAGTAATAGCTATGATCATTTTAAATCCCTGGATTGTTCTCCTATTAATCCTGTTTCATGCTGCTGCTAATAGCTCCATTTCTATGTGTGTCAAGATCCAGGTGATTATAGTGGCAAAATAAATCTTGGATTTTGAAAAGAAGAATATGGGAAGGAGAAATATTTAATTGGATGTATAACTGCTTGGGTAAGATGGGGAGACGTGCTATAACAATACTGTACCACAAATGCCCTTTAAGAATGGATTACCACTGCATGCAACAACTTTTTCAATATGTTTTTTTTTTTTCTGTCTCTTCAGTAAATGCATTTATTTGCTGCAGGGGCAGGTAATACCATTGGAAAGGAATACACACAAGTAATGGAAAACAGAGCAACAGGGATGTATGAGCGAGAAATGTCTGTTGTGTCAGAAATGGGATCCAAGATATCTGACGTACAGGGAATCCAGATCTCAGGAGCCAGCTGACATGTTGTTGAACTTGAACAACACTGGAATTCCTCACCTCATACACATTGAACTGGCTCTGCCCTCGAGCTAGCTCTCGGTAGCTGGTCGTAAAATCCCCAATGAAGTCATGGCTTGGAGAAGGAATAAAGGAGGAGACATACCAGTGAGTGCGAAGAAATACCAGGTACAAATAACAGCAGATCCTGGGGACAAGATGAAACTTTGTGACAGGAAACGATGGGAATCCCGAGTGAATACTGATGAAGAAGTTTTACCCCAAGCTCAGTGGACTCATACACACTTCTACATACAGTATGTTCTTTAACAGAATGTAACAGTATGCGAAAGATTCCTCAGTTTGATGCCTGTCATGTAATATATTTGTAAACCACACTCACCTCCCATCCCGATCCCAGTCGTACACCTCCACCTTGATTGTTCTGGAGAAACAAGTCAGAAGAAACACACAATAAGGTTTTAAAGAAGCATGCTTGCTGACAAGTGGTGTTGTATTTATATCAAGTTCTATTCGGTAGCTTGTTCTAGAGATCACCAAGGAGTTAGGAGAAATGTCATGGGATTGTAAATGTTTTGGACTTTTGGCCAGCTAGGACGAGCAGTATCTCGAAAGTGCTTTTGGAAATTTGATCACCAGTAATCCCAAGACAACAAGGCATCTACATCTGCAGAGGAAGAAAGCATAACATGGACAAAATCCAGATTATGGACCTTGTGGTAGGATATTTTTGCTGTTTCTAAGGTTTAATCTTGACATGGTTTTTAGTACTGTGGCAGTGATTGACTTTTTTTTTTTTTTGGCAACACAGATTGACATTTATTCAACAAGAATGTTGTTTTCTATGGACAAATAACCCAGTTTTCTTTATTTATGATGAGGCCAACATATTAAACTGAAGCAGATTTGACTTAACCAGGCCTTCCTTATCTAAACTGGCTCAACAAAACCTAAAACTCCAGTTAGAGACAATGGTTGTTAAGATAGTGTTCATCAATGTTTTTTTTTTTTTCTTCATCAAGCGTTGTGTGCACTTCCATGAAAGAGGCTGTTTGACTTGCAGTGTTGCGCTTCTGCACAAAATAGACTAATACGTGCCGCCTACTTCAGTCAAGAGAAACAAATTGTTATACTGGAGAGCTATGAAGAATATAAAAATGTATCATGGCAAAAACTGCTGTTACTGCAAGAGAGAAATGCTGCTATAAAGTTGTTAATCATATGTTAATATGTATTTTACCACTTAGCACACTCTCAGTTCAGCCGTCTACACACTAGAGCTCTTAAGCTTTAAACTTAATTCATCCAAACATGATCCTCATGAAGTGCATTTAGGTTTGACATAAAACTAATGTTACTGATTGAATATTCTCTGTGATAAATGCCAATAGACAAAGCAATTTGCTGATCTGTCTTCTATTAGCTGCATTACCAGCAGTGTAAAACAGACTTTTTGCATCATCATCTGATCATAGAGAATCGTCAGGAAAAGAATTGGTGAAAGGTTGACACTTCTTGCAGCGGATATAAATCCCAAACTCTGAGACAAAATCTTTATCCGGCATTGGTTGGTGATGTAACCCGGTTAAAAGAGGGCCACATTTGTGACATTACAAAGTCTAGCTTTAGGCTCAACATACCCTGCTAACACACCTCATGTCTGAAGTGTCATCACACTGGGTGAAAACAGTCACACTCCTCAGCAACAGCTTCATAAAGGCTTTTGTAATTAACAAGGACAGAATCCAACATCAGCACCTAAAAACAGCAGAGGATGTTTCGAAAATGTGCCGCAGGAACTCCAAAATGAGTTAAAACAGATGTCACTTGGCTCTAAAACTGGGATTCCTGCCAGCGTTTAGAACAAGGCAGCATCTTGCAAGAGAAGAAAAAAAGTCAAATTGTATAAAACACTCCCTCAAAAAATTGGAACTTGCAAACTACGGCATATGTTTACTTCGTACATTCAAACAGAACATCAGAAAAAAAAGGACACATTGACGACATGTTGCACAAATGCAGCAGAAACAATGTCCCTGCTGAGGAGAAAAAAACTTTTTCTGGCACTTTCATTCCCGAGTCACATTGATCTCACCCCATGTCTCTCCTCTCTCCCTTCTTCGTCTTACACAAGTACTGACACCATCCAGATCCAAAGAAAATAGAAGCAGGCGCTACATCATAGACTCCTCGCTGCCACTGAGGAACAAAAAGATGCCTGATATAAGCCAAACTTCCTCCCTGCCACCTAGCCCCTGTCGTTCCACGGTGACAGTTTGTTCTTTTGAGGTTATCTTCAAGGCTGAGAGCTAGAGAAAATGTGCTTGTCACTTAGGTGGTAAAAACATGGCGCTTCTCCTGCAACGTGGAAAAGGAGCGAGAGCGGTTAGAAGGAAGACGGATATAGAAAGAGATGGCAGAAAAAAGTGAAGTAAAAGCTAAAGAAAGCAGTAAATTATCTTTTCCCTGACCAGGAACAAAGAGAGTTGCATTTTCAGAATACGCCATGTTACTCCAAATAAGGATCTGATAGCTGCTGTTATGCCTTCCCAAAGCCTTCGCCATAATTGTATTTTAAATCTCCCTATCCTAATTTACAGCTGTTTCAAAGGAGTCCGATCCTTGAGTGGCCCTTGAACACTCCGAACAATATACACTCCAAAACTAATCTGCAACAGATATCTGCGGCTCCTATTCTAAGACATCTTTAATGAAAATGAGTCATCTTCAGTAATGGAGCATCTTCTAGTTGAATGGAAAATAAGGAGGCCGCATTTGATGCCGAACAATTCTTTATCTCCAATTACACAGATCTGTTTGTGATCTGTTGCCAATGACAGAAATAGACCATGTTTGAGTCACTCAGGTTTTCATGTTAATGAGGAAGACTGTATTCTTTTGATGTTTTGATGCTTTATCAGCGCTGAGATATATATACCTTAGGCACTTCCTGCTGGGATTCATGGGGTGTGAAGGATGTATATACAGAAAGAAGGAGAAAAATATGTTTTTCACGAACCAATTTTTAAGCAGAATGCACGACAGCATGGGAGAGCCTTCCACTTGTCTCATTTTGCTTCACACTCCCTCATCTTCCTCTCCTTGACTTACTCATCTGAAACAGGGAGTTTGACATATTGGATTTCTGTTTTTCCCTCTGTAACACTGCAAGTACTCCCGCCTTTGCTGCCTCTTATCAGCTATTCTCCTCTCATTCGTTTACTTTCTCTTCTTGTCTACATTCCTTGTCCTCCTCATTCACTCTCCTCTTGTTTGCCAAAGTCTTGCCTGCTGCTTAGATTTCTTGAAGGATCAGATATGTGCTGTCACCAGGGATTCAGCTGGATCCTTCCACTTGAACAACTCTTTGCCTAATCACTCTCTAACCCCCCTTTTACATTTTTTTTAAAATCCTTGACCGTGTGTTTGCATGACATTTTAAAAATATATATATATAACCAGCTCATCTGGCTAAAATATGATAGAGCTATAGGCCCTGGCAATAATTCAGATCTGGGATTTCCATTTGTTGCTGCATAGCAATAACAAGCACTGCTTTATGTATGACAGCAGAGGTGCAGTGGTGCGTAAACGTGGGCAAACAGCAAGTAACCAACCTTGGAGAGGGGGGATTTACTGTACACTTAGTTAGAAACAGCCACAAATACGTGTCAGTACACATGCTGCAGAGTAAGGCTGCAGTCAATCACGTTACAGTCTTTGATGTAATCTGTAGTGTTTTCTGCAACCACACTTTTTTTCCCCTGATTTAAGCCTTTAAGGCAGTCAGTATTCCCAGGCAGCTTTACAAAGTACACAGGAAAAACTGCACCATGTCTAGTGAGAGTCTTAAAGACAAACTCAGGCAACAAATGTCCCTTCTCTTGTTCTTTCATAACCTGCGGACTTCAAACAAATAAAAAAGACGGAGCAAACACGTCAGTGCACTTTCAAACTTTGTCAACAATAAAAGATAAAGCATGTGCCGAATCTTACAACACTGATTGCTGTGAGCTGTACAAATAGGAGATAACCGAACAAATAGCCCAGTCTCAGTCCCATCTCGTCACATAGAGACACTTTGCTACGACCTCTATGACGCCTCTTTTTAATACCCTGGATGCCCCTTGAGCATGATTTTTCAAAGTGCAGGTTAGTGCAGTAGGCTTAATTACTCCCTCAACAACAGAAATAGACACAACAAAACCGCACCTGAATGTTCTCTGTTGGTGTCATCACTGTTTTTCATTTTCAGGCAATGAATTATATATCAGATGTGTGAGGAGTTGTCACCGCTCTAACAATGAAAATGGAGAGGAAGGTTGCTGCAAAAGAGAGATGTTTGGCTTCTAATATGTGGTTTACTTTGTGAAAAGGTGTGTTTTAACACAAACTATGATCCTTTCCTAAATCTAACCAAATAGTTTCAGTGCCTAAAGTTGACCCAGATTAGTGCCTATGTAGTAGTCATAAAACGGCGTATGTTTTTTTCGTACGGTTTTCCCATCAGTTTCAGCATCTTATGAAGCAGCAATCTGACCAATAGCACACCTTAATCAGTTCTGGGTGAGACAAGTTTCTAAATAAAGTCTACCTCGGGTTAAGAGGCCTCCGACTTGAGACTCCTAAGCCCACCTGGCAGTGTCTTGTTATCACCTGCTGTGAGAGAATCCCTACATCTCAAACATGCTTGATATTTTCTTCCACGACTAAATCACACAGATCCCTCAGTTCAGTAAAAGTTTACCTTTTATCCCTCTGTCCCGTGTTTCTTTTCTTCACTTTCCGAAAGAGGCAACAAAGCTTTTAATTTTACTTTGGGGGGATAAATGGGGAGAGAGGTTGAACCAAAACATGCTGATTTCTGCAGAGAGATGTGAACTCACACAAGGACCGCACCTTGTAATGGGGGACCCCCTGTCTTATCAGCATGCGCACTGATGAGACGTTAGACGGGCGGCTTCATCCATTAGTTGTGCTGAGGAGTCATCCCCAAATGAGAGACTGACAACAACATCATCCAGGAGAAGTGGCAGAATAGATTGAAGAGCTTGGGTGCTGCTTTGGAAGCTCATGCTTGTTTTTAGAAACTGTACTTTACTGAAGGCACAAAACCTGAAGATGCAACACCACATTCGCCTCAGGAAGCGTGCTGTGAATGGACGGGGTAGATAGTCGGTGAGATCTTTATATTCAACTCACACAGCTGTCAGTGAGCAAGCACAAGAAAAAGAAATGCCTTTTTTTCTTTTTTCTTTTTCCATCATCTGACTTTGAGCTTCTTTGAAAGAGTTTAATTAATTCAAGTCTGAAGTGCACTGCCATACAGTAAGTTAACCACGAGAGTTTAAAAGGGATCTCACATTTAAAAACAATTAGAGTAAATGGCACCTCGAATAGAGTGGACGAATAGAGTGCAGTCCT